CTGTGTTCCTCAGGGCCACACCGCTGCCCACCTCACCTGTGCTCCCTGTCAGGAGGTGATGACAACTATGCAACCAGGTAGAGAAGCTGTTCTCAGGGCTTCTCTGTGCCCCTTCTGTGTTCCACTGGGTCCTACCGGGTTGTTGTTGTTAGGTGACATTGAGTTGGTATCGACTCAGTGATTCTATGCACAACAGAACAAAACACTGCTCAGTCCTGAACCAACCTCATAATCGTTGCTAAGCCTTAGCCCATTACTGCTGCCACTGTGCCAATCCATCTTGTTGAAGGTCTTCCTGTTTTTTTCCAACCCTCCACTTTACCAGACATGATGCCCTTCTCCAGGGACTGGTCCCTTCTGACAATATGTTTGAAATATGAGAGACAAAGTCTGGCCATCCTGGTTTCCAAGGAACATTGTGGCTATACTTCTTCTAACACAGATTTGCATTTCTGGCGTTCTTGGTACTTTCAGTATTCTCCTCCAACACCATAACTCAAATGTGTTATTTCTTCTACGGTCTTCCTTATTCACTGTCCAGCTTTCACATACATATGAGGTTATTGAAAATACCATGGCTTGGGTCAGGAGCACCCTTGGTCCTCAAGCTGACATCTTTGCTCTTGAACACTTAAAAGAGGTCTTGTGCAGTAGATTTGCCAAATGCAATATGTCCTTTGATTTCTTGACTCCTGCTTCCCTGTGTGTTGATGGTTGGTCTAAGCAAAATGACGTCTTTGACAACTTCAATCTTTTCTCCATTTATGTGAGTGTTCTTTACTGCTCCAGTGTTTTCTTTATATTGAGATGCAACCCATACCAAAGGCTCTGTGTGGTCTTTGATGTTCATCAGTATTTTAAGTCCTCTTCACCACCAAGAAGAGGAGGTTGCTTTTCTGGGAGTGTCTGAACGTGAACCAGACGTTGTCGTGGCGTTGTTTTAACTGATGATATGGAGCTTTTCCATCGTTTCTTTCCGTAGATGTAGCCAGTTTGATTTTTGTGTATTCCATCTGGCGGAAGTCCACATGTATATTCGTCTCTTATGCTGCCTAAAGAAGGTTTTGAAATGAACAAGTCATTGATTTTGCAGAATTCTATCATGCATTCTCCAGCATCATTTCTATCACCAAGGCCATATTTTCCAACTACTGATCCTTTCTCTTTGCACCCAACCTTTGTATTCCAGTCACCACTAATGATCAATACATCTTGATTGGACGTTTGATCAATTTCAGATTGAAGAAGTTGGTAGAATTCTTCTATTTCTTCCTCAATGGCTTTAGTGGTTGGTGCGTAAATTTGAATAATAGTGGTATTAACTGGGCTTCCCTGTAGGCGCATGGATATTATCCTATCACAGACAGCATTGTACCTCATGACTGATCTGGATATGTTCTTTTTGATGATGAATGCAACACCATTCCTCTTCAATTTGTCATTCCAGGCATAGTAAACCATGTGGTTGTCAGATTCAAAATGGCCAATACCAGTCCATTTCAGCTCACTAAAGCCTAAGATATCGATGTTTATGTGTTCCATTTCATTTTTGACAATTTCTAATTTTCCTATATTCATATTTTGTACATTCCATGTTCCACTTATTAATGGATGTTTACAGTTGTTTCTCTTCCTTTTGAGTTGTGCTCTGTCAGCAAATGAAGGTCCCAAGGGCTTTAGTCCCTCAGGTTTTACTCCATTCACGCCATCATAGTTAACTCTACTTTGAGAGGGCAGCTCTTCCCCAGTCACATTTTGAGTGCCTTCCAACCTGAGAGGCTCATTTTCCAGCACTATATCTGACAGTGTTTCTCTGCTATTCATAAGGTTTTCAGTGACTAAGTATTCGGAAGCAGTTCGTCACTCATTCTTCCTAGTCTGCCTTCGTTTGGAAGCTTATCTGAAACCTGTCCACCATGGGTGACCCTGCTGGTATTTAAATGCTTAGAAATATGCAATCTAGGGGCACTTATTTTTCTTCCAAAAACAAAGATCCTTGGATCGTCTTAAATAGTACCTCTTGCTTAGCCTGGGTTAGATCTCTACTCTGAACTAGAATTGCTAATCTGTAACTTCAACTACCCTTAAAGTGCATGGTCTGGAAATTGTGCCTGAACCCTTGACCCTAGAATGGACCTTAATGCTTACAAGACATGTCATGCCATGGGCATTAGTTGGGTTGATTGTCCCATTCGTTTTCATTTGAAATCATCTTTTAAACCCTTTCATTAATATCATTAATGAGCAAAATGGTTAAAGCACTCAGCTATTAATCCAAAACAAGATCAGTGGTTCAAACCCACTAGCCATTCCAAGGGAGAAAGATGTGGCAGTCTGCCTCTGTAAAGATTGTTGTTGTTGTTAAGTGGCAGCCAGTCGATTCTGACCCATAGTGACCCCGTATAGGGTTTCCGAGGCTGTCTTAGAAATTTTCTACTCTTTCCTGTAGGATTGCTGTGAGTCAGAATCAACTTGATGGCAGTAGGTTTGGGGTTTTGTTTGGTTTGGTGTTTTTTTGTTTTGTTTTGTTTTGTTTTTTTTTGGAATTAACAGTTTCTGGTTAGTGACTAGGAGTCCTGGTGTGGTGATGTAGGATAAGCACTGGACTGCTATATGCAAGATCCACAGTTCAAACCCACCATCTGTTTCGTGGGAGAAAATGAGATTTATAGTCTTGAAAGCCCTATACAGGGTTGCTATGAGCTGAAATCAACTCGATTCAGTGAAGGAGAGAGGGAGAGGTTAGTGGATGACTTTCATAATAAGTGAAGGGTGTGCTCTTTTTCCCAAGCGTGGTTGAGATTATTACCTGCTGTCCCAGCAGAAATAAGACATGTAAAGTACCAAGTTATAAGAAGCAAATTCATCCCATTTCTGCCTACTTTTTCTCTTCACTCCAGGAAATTTCTCTATGATTTTTTTTTTAGAATATGGGTCCGGGTCCAACTAAAATATCAGACAATCTCCATTATACATAATGGAAGAACTAGAAAACAAGTTTTCTGAATATTGTTGAAGTAGATGGTAGTTCTTTCCTGGGACTGGAGCCACGTGGTTGATAAATGCAGTTTTTAAACTAGAATTATTTGGTGTGTATCTGGTAAATAAACTTTTATCCTTCATATGAAAATAGGTGATCTAATCTCAATATACATAGATATATATGCATGTATGTGTATGGACTCCTGGAGTGGCACTGTAGTATAAACACTAAACCAACCACAAGATCAGTTTGAACCGTAAGGTCAGTGGTTCGAATTCACAAATCACTCCTTAGAAACCCTATGCAGGGTCATTATGAGTTAGAACTGACTCCATGACACCTGAAAACAACATATATAAATTCACACACACACATGTATATGCATAAGGAAACCTAAGTGTGATGCTGTGGGTTAACACGCTCAAACTCA